TCAGGGTATAGAGCATCAGCCTGCGGACTGAAAGGTCCCAGGTTCGATTCCGGTCAAGGGCATGTATCTGGGTCGCGGGCACATCCCCAGAAGGAGATGTTCAGGAGGCAGCTGATCGATGTTTCTCTCTCATCGATGTTTCTAACTCTCTATCTCTCTCCCTTCCTCTCTGTAAAAAAATCAATAAAATATATATATATATATAAAAAGGCGGCTCTCGCTCTCAGGACACCCCTCTTCTTTCTTGTCTAGTTCTCATTACAATTTGCAGGCCCACGCCCACTGTGTTCACTCTGGTGTTCCCCAGCAGCTAAGAAAGTGCCACGAAGACTCGCCATAAATGTCCATGAATGAATGCCTGGCCGGCGTGGCTCAGTGGTTGAGCGTTGACCTCTGAACCAGCAGGTCACGGTTCGATTCCCGGTCAGGGCACGTGCCCGGGTTGGGAGCTCGCCCCCCAGTGTGGGGCGTGCAGGAGGCAGCCGATCCATGATTCTCATCATGGATGTTTCTGTCTCTCTCTCCTCCCTTCCTCTGAAATCAATATTTAAACACAAATAAATAGCCCTGACTGCTTTGGCTCAGCGGATAGAGTGTCTGCCTGCGGACTCAAGGGGCCCAGGGTCGATTCCGGTCAAGGGCATGTACCTTGGTTGCGGGCACATCCTCAGTGGGGAGTGTGCAGGAGGCAGCTGATCGATGTTTCTCTCTCGTGGATGTTTCTAACTCTCTATTGCTCTCTGTAAAAAATCAATAAAACATATTTAAAAAAAAAACACAGGTAAATATCCATGAATGAAGGAGTGGTTGTGGTGGGTCCCTCAGCAGCACCCAGATGTGCCCGCTGGGCAGCAGTCAGAGAACCCCAGGTGGGAGTTCACAGGCAGGTGAGGCAGCAGCCCCGTAAAGGCCAAGAGGCCCTGGTGCCCACTGCAGCCTAGCCACGGCAAGCATACTGCAGGGTAGGGGCAGGGGAGCGGGCACGCAAGCTGATGCAGGAGAGCTGTGGGGCTCTGAGCTTCTGTGTGCAGACCTGTATGAGCTTCCACAGACAGCAGCTCTCCCCGTGTTCACAGCGCCTGCCTCTGACTCCATGTCTTACCGCATTTCATGGGTCATCATGTTTCCAACTGCGGTGGGGACACTGAACTAATGTGTGTGAAGCAGCGTGCCTGGCACCGTGGTTATTCTTGGGAAGGACAGATGGGATGGGTGACAGACCGGAGGAGAGGTGTGAGGCAGCAGGAGGTGCCATCTTCAGACCACAGCTCAGGGAGGGGGGCTGGCGGGGCTGTTGATAAACACAGGGAAGTGGGAAGAGGTTGCGGGGTGGGACGGAGTGCGGGGTCTGGTGCTGGCTGTGGGAGTTGGAGATGACCCCGGGCTGGGGGTGGGGGTGGTGAGGGATGGGCAGGGTGGCATGAAGGAGTGGGGGCCGGCTGGTTGCATGGGTGGGAGCTGGGGTCTGAGATTGGGCAGCCTGCAAATAGAGCTGTGAGTCAGAAAGTGAAAGCGATGAGGGGGAGACAGAAGCTGAGAACTGGCAGGGAGGTGGGAGGAACAGAATCGGGGGGGCCTTTGGAGGAGAAGGGTGTCAGCTGTCTGGTGGTATGAGGACCTGGGGGCAGGGGCAAGGCTGAAGAGGAAGGGAGGGATGGGGAACCCCACTGGTTACGTGTGTGGCTTGAGAGCAGGGACAGGGAGCCCTCCGCTTCCCATGCTTCCCCTGCCTGTCCCCCTCTCTCCTGTCCTTCTCCCTGCCTCTGTGGGTGCCCTGACCTCCCCCAGACCCTGTCTGGGGCTGTCTGTTCTCCCCCTCCCTCAAGCACATGGAGGCCAGCTCCCCTCTCCCCTGCCTTGGGCACCTCCTCAATTCATTCTCTTGCTCCCTTTCTCTTTACCTCCCAAACTGGACCTAATTTACAACCCAAACCTACCAGTTTATTAATGTATCTTACTAATAAAAGGGTAATATGCTAATTAGACCAGACATCTTCTGGATGTCCTTCTGGACAAAGCCACGGTGGCCGGGGTCGAGGCAGAGGCGTTTAGGGGCAACCAGGCCAGCAGGGGAGAGCAGTTAGGGGTGACCAGGCAGGCATGCAGAGTGGTTAGGGGCAATCAGGCAGGCAGACCGGTGAGCGGTTAGGAGCCAGCGGTCCCAGATTGTGAGACATCCGGGCTGTTAGACAACATCCCAGAGGGGTCCTGGAATGGAGAGGGTGCAGGCCAGGCTGAGGGACTCACCCCTCCCACCCCCGTGCATGAATTTTGTGCACTAGGCCTCTAGTGTTTCATAGCTGGATAGACCAGATGTCTTCTGGATGTCCTTCTGGACAAAGCCACCGTGGCTGGGGTTGAGGCAGAGGCGGTTAGGGGCAACCAGGCCGGCAGGGGAGAGCAGTTAGGGGTGACCAGGCAGGCATGCAGAGTTGTTAGGGGCAATCAGGCAGGCAGGCAGGTGAACGGTTAGGAGCCAGTGGTCCCAGATTGTGAGACATCCAGGCCATTAGACATCCCCGAGGGGTCCTGGAATGGAGAGGGTGCAGGCCAGGCTGAAGAATAGTTAGAGCAGCCGCAGTGGCTCAGTGGTTGAGCATCAACTTATGAATCAGGAGGTCATGGTTCGATTCCAATCAAGGGCACATGCCTGGTTGTGGGCTTCATCCCCAGTAGGGGGCGTGCAGTAGGCAGCTGATCGGTGATGTTTCTCATTGATGTTTCTATCTCTCCCTCTCCCTTCCTCTCTCTCTCTAAAAAAAAATCAGTTAAAAATAGTAATGGTTTGAAAGTTCAGACTGTACGAACTTCAAGGACATAACCTCTGATCTGCTGTGTCTTTCCCCGTAACATGGGGAGTCGTGGCGGAGCTCAGGTAGGGCTCACTGCTCGGGTTTGGGGTGCACATTTAGTGAGGTGATCCAACCAGCGCCCAGACATAAGCCTGGCTCTTTAGCCATCGCTCAATCCTGTTAGCTACTGTTTCTCTTTTTCTCTTTCAGGACTGACCAGCTTTTTACTCATTGAGTTCGTGACTTGCTGAAAGTCAGCGGAAGTTGGTAAGACACCCCTAATGCCCACGCTTTCCCCAGCGGGGGGCCGCGGGGTGGTGGCGGGAGACTCAAGCAGCCCCGCCCAGAACCCATTCTCTCAACCTGGGGTCCCTGTAGGGCAGGGTGGCACGCTGGCTGCCATCCTGAGAGCTGCCACCAGGGGGCACCAGTACACAGCTGCTCTCACTCTCCGCGTCCACACCTGCTTCCTAGCTCACTCTTCCCTCCCGGGATAGTTCTCAGAAATCTCCAAAATCTGAAGACAGAGTTGCCCACCCCAATGGGCCACCGCGCCCCAGTGGTGCCCCAAAGCTCTGCAGGCCAGCCCAGCCTAAACTGCTCCGTTTGGGGACTGCTGGCCCGTCCCTCAGTTCCCCAAGGCTCTGTGCCCATCTCTCCCACACTCAGGGCCACGTGCAGAATCATGCCATTGCTGCAAAATCTCTTGAGGACGTAGCCAGGGGCTGGCAATGCCACAGAGTATGGGGGGAGGGAAGCAGGTGGGCTGTGGGAGGGTGGGGGAGGGCCACTGCAGGTGCCACTGACCAGATGAGAGCTTTGGGCAAATCTCTAAGCTCCGTTTCCTGCACCACAACAAAGGAACGAATGCCACACCAGAGAGCATTTACAATGCAAAAGACAGCCCAAAGGAAGTGCCATGCTATGAGTTAAAACCAATATTCAGGGAGCTCTGCCTTGGTTACCTCTCGAAAGAGACGTTGAGCCTCCATTTAAATACAGTCAGCGACGGAGCGCTCACTCCCTTATTGAGGAAACACGATACCAGCATTTACTGTCCTCTCACTCGGTGCCATGAGATGTGCCCTACCAGGCACCTGCCACCTTCCTAAAGGACCTGTGCATTCAATAACATGCCCATTTCACAGATGGGCATGCTGAGGCTCAGAGTGGCTCAGAGTGGCTGGGGAGTGGGCTCACTCCATTTAGTGATGGGCCCAGATCTGTTTCATTCCCAAGTGCAGGCCATACTGCCCTCTGTTCGTGGGACAGCTTGAATGGGGGCCGTCCTCCCAACTCCTGTGTTGAGTGCTTTTCTGGTAATTTCCCATCGTGAAGTGAGGATTCCATGCCCGGCACTGTCCCACCAGCCTCACCCCTCCCCTGGAAGGCAGGTCGGTCTGAATTGTCATCCTCATTCCACAGGTGAGGACATTTGCCTAAAAAGCCACCCATCTGGGGAATGGCAGAGGCCGTGCTAGCAGTGAGGTCTGGTGATGCCAAGGCAGGCTCTTAACCTCGGCAGGTACTTGGGTACCGGAGAATTCGGGGGTGCTCCTCCTCCCTCTCCCAGCCAAAGAGGGTGGGGCCACGGACCCACACACCTCTCCTCTCTCCTAGCAGGAGGCCTGGCAGGCCAAGGAGCCATCCCTGTGGCCCTGGACAAGGACAGGATGGTAGACAAGGACAGGATGGCACAGCTGGGCAAGGGAGCCGGGGTCACCCCCTGGCTGGTGACTAAGGTGGGGCTCGTGTCTTTTGGGGACATCAGGCAGTGCTCTCCCACAAGGAGGTTGGGGGGCGCCTGGATGAGCTCACCAGGTGAGTGAGAGTTCCCTATAGAGTGGAAGAGAGAGACATCCATGTGAGAGAAACACATGGATTGGTTGCCTCCTGCATGCACCCTGAACAGGGCCCCTCTGGGGAGGAGCCTGCCATCGGGGGATGTTCCCTTGACCAGGGAATCGAACCTGGGACCCTTCCATCCGCAGGCCGCCGCTCTATCCGCTGAGCCAAACCGGCGAGGGCCCCTAGGACCTTTCCCAGAGGGGAAAAAGGAGTTTGTGCACATCTGGCCAGTTCTCCAGCGCGATTCCTAGAGAGGGGCGGGCACCTGAGCGGACTGAGCGGCATCTCCGGCGCGCTCGCCCTGGTTCCCAGCGCCCCGAGCTCTGGGGCCGGGTGGGGACCGG